ATCGAACTCGATGCTGTAGTATCTTGGCTACTGGGATATCGGGGCCTTAAGAAGAACTATGCACTCTGGCTTTTTTATTTGCCTATCACTTACATTTTCAAAAGGTAGACGAAAAGCCTTCAACTCGCTTACTTTAAACCTATTCGCGTATATACTAAGGATCTGTGTCCTTAGCATGTGAGATGGCGCTCTCCTATAGGCCGCGACTAACGCCTCTAGACCAGGGTCAGCAGTCGTGCCGTTCACTTTTTCTCCCTGGAGAGCTTGAAGCAGCTTCTCTCCATCATTTGGTGCTGTGACATTGCAAACCAACGTGCATGCCTCGGTCGCTTTACAAACAAATTTTTCACGTTCTACATCAGTACATGCATCCCAGCTTTTCAGCTGATATTGCAGCTGATCAACTTTTTTTTGCCCTGATACCTCTGCAAGGTTTTCCATTGCAGAGTTAAAAACCTGAACGGAAGCTTTACAATTGCTCTTAACCGTCAGGTGTGATTCCCCTTCTTCTCCACTACTTTCTAATTTATCAGTGGGACATAACCGAGGAGTCCACAGTGTGTCTGTCTGAACATGGCTAACGTCGATTCCTGTTGTCGACGGCACTTCCTCGTGGGCGTAAAGAGCTGCCGCAGCAACCTCGTTAGGAGCCCTGTAAAAAGAACGTGATAGAAAAGGTAAATCACGAGAAGTCACCGTCATTACTTCACCTCCTCAAGCAATTCATTTCCAAACAGTCTCGCCTCCTCCCCCCCCCCATCATATACGTTCCCCTCTTTCTCTGTCTATACCTCTCCGTTTATTCCAATTTTTCAGTCGTTCTTCACTCATTTCTCTCATCGATCTCCCTCCGGCTGCATCTGTCTATGTCTGACTACGTTTCGTTTAGAAGTTTCAATTTAATTCTCTCCGAGCTCAATTGTACCATGCGATATCCCATATTAGGATTTGCCCCTTGTGAGGTGTGGTGAGCTGTTTGAGTCGCTACCGGCCTTATTCTCTACATCTGGAACCCAAGCCGACTCCTCAATGGTAGCTTTATGTCTCTTCCGACAATTACTGCAAATTATTGAAAGAACAAATATACTAATTGCAGGTTTCTTTGAAATTTCCCTCAGCAATCATGAACAGTTTTAGGCCACACTATCAAAACTTCCTCAAGACATCCCGGGGCAAGTTCATTCCTAGCATTTATCTTCTTCCTTCTTTCCTCGCCCCAGGGTCTTAGGGGCATGACCGGCGAAACACCGAGAACGAGGCTGTTCCAAGCGAATGTCATCACTGAGTCTTGTTGTAAAACTGAGTACCTCTTCAGTCTTTTTTCTGCTGCGATCAATTTACAAACGGATTTGCTGACCACACAATCGATGAAGTGTGGTGTATCCAGTTAGTAATCATCACACGTGCTCTTAATAAATAAAGGCTAATTGATAAAATCTATCACTATTTCAAAGTGACAACATCGAAAATGCGGGAAATATAAATTTGGTTCTCCAACAAGTACAAGAAGGAGAACTTCGTAACTGACTCACGTGATCCAATCGGGACAACCATTCCATGAACTTTTAGGATTTCTTTCGCCATTTTGAGAGTAACTACATCCCTATTTTTTATAGCTTTACTACCGCCTTGGTGGGTGGGGTATTGACAAGGCCTTCGCTGAATCAGTACTTCCCCAACTTTTGTCGATGTCTGGGCATATCATCGTTTGGCTAAGCTTTGAAACTGGTAATTCAAAAATACCCACCCTGGTTAAAATGAGTTCATGCTCAGTTAGCGTTTCGCGAGATAAATGACAAGAGCTTAGATGGTTTACAATTGACTCATTACAATTTCCAAGGCTCACGGACTGTGTAATACCTCTTGAGCTACCACATGGTCCTCTATATTTCGAAATGCACGGCAAAAAGCAAGGAGTTCCCATGGTGTTGTTCGCAAATCGTGAACCAAATCAATACTAAGATTTTGTGTAACTTAAATTGAATTATTTATGAACTAAATTAGTTGTAAATTAAGTTGTTTTTCTCTGGCTAAGCGGCCTCCCAAAACAGTTTGAAAAATTGAATATCTATCCGAGTTTAAACGATGTCTTTTAACAGATTTACAACAGTGATAACAGTTACTTTTACATGACAGACGATTTTGAAAAGTAGCTGGTTTAGGTGCTTTTCTAAATTTACGCGACTACATGTGAGTAAAATTATTGCAAACGAACTGACTAATTGAATTTCGTAAGGTTGCACTGCGTGACACAAAATTCACTTCAATGGAAGTTCTGTGCCGTTCTCTATATCTACAGGAAAATAATAATCCAGTTTTTATCGAAAAATGTATTTTTTTCTGGCGATTTTATGAGAACTTATAGTTTATGAACACAAAAGAAGGGCCCTTTCACATAGTATGTTCTTGTGGCGAAAGTTTTCTTAGATTAAAAGTTACATTTTCGAATTAAAAGGACTGCATTTTAAGTGCTGTTAAGTTGAACAGTTTCTAAATGAACAACACGAAATATTCTGAATATTTGAATCTTGTCATAGTTATCCTGCCTCTGAAGTTTTTTCCCCTTCCTCGTAAATTGAATGATAACCGAAACAATAGATCGCCTAGAGATAAGAGTCAACTTTCGGCGGCTGTATTTTTCTAGATTAAGATTTTTTTTCACTTAATGATGTTTTATCCTATCGCAAGTCTCAAAAAAGCTTTCATGGACTCAAATCACTCGTCAAACATAAGTTGGCCGTATAAGTTTCGTTTATTTTTTAGACCGCTCCATGTGCAATGTTAGGTCGAATTTTCGAAAATGCACGTAATTTGTTGGCTGGCTATTCTAGAAGTTCGCTCTTCTACCCTATTTTAGTCAGTCTGGATAAAAATATCCTGGGAAAGAAGTTGGAATTTTGCGCTGAGCCGAGATAAAAAGTTGCATATTTCTGGTCATGGCAGTAGCGTCAAAGTAGGTGTCAAACAAAAGACAAATTTGAAGTGAAAAAACCGTTAAAAAAAACAAAATTTATGTGCTTTGTTGTCATAAAGGGTTGATATAAATATGCGAAGAAAAACAATACCCACGAACCAGGATTTTGTGAAAAGATGAGCTCGGCAATTTGTGCCATTTTGATATTCGGTGTTATTCAGAACTAACGTTTGAGCACTGAAGCGATTTTCGCTCAGAAAAAAAATTATTTTGCTATATTTAAAAAACCAAGGTGGTTTCGATTACCTTTAGACTAAGGTAGATTCCTGGGCAAAGTTTGAAAGAAATAAATTTTTCGACCCGAAACGCACCGGACCGCTATTAGAGAGACTGCCTACGGTAGATAACAATATTAGAATCTCAACATCTACATCGAGGAGTCTATAGTTAACAGGGAAATCTATATGATAACAACTGATAAACTAGAAAAATTTAATAAACGGCAGAGGTCATTTATTATTTTAAATCTCTGAATCAAATAAGATCTTTGTTTATTCAGACAGAAATGGCTGACGAGATTAATACTTGACTCGGAAATGTCATCTTCTTTAACATCTAATTAACAATTGAAATCGCACTGTTATCCAGCTTTTAGTGCATCCTTTCAATTAGCCAGTCGATTCGGCTGTGATTGGTTTGATAATAATTAAAATCTCAAACTTTCATTAAAATTATTCAATATCATCCCCTTGTTGACTTCTGATGAAAACACCTGCCACACAATTACAAAGCTGAGGAGTATGCATACCTTAAACGAGATCATCATCAGAAAATCAAAATGAAATTTACTCTGTGTGCTGAACTTATGGTGTTATTAATTTCCGAAGTCGTAGCATCTCAAGCATTTCTTTGTAAGGAAGCGTCTCTTTCTTGTCCTGTGATAACTTACAATCATCGCCGACTTAAAGGCTTCACGTTCAAAACAATTCACTTTGCCAGCGTGGTATCCTGTGGTTTGCTATGTCAGAGAAACCATCGATGTTGAAAACATCTGCAGTCATTAATAGTAAATTTGTGAATATGTATGTGTGTGTTTCTCTGTCCCAGTTCCCCTAGGTATGGAAAGTGTAGCTATTACTGACTCGCAGATCAATGCATCGTCCGTGTGTAGTTATAATCATTGTTTCTCGTCTCTCGCTTTGACGAGGGGCTAACGCTCGAACGTCAGCTTTGAAACTCTTACTGTTGCAAATTTTCGTTATCGACTCAATAGTCCTTTTTACAGTTCCTGGCGCCATATTGGATTAGTAACCGCGCAAACACGATAGCGAGGCTGCCGGTGACCCGATTCGGGCATCGCATAAGAGTTTGTTGGTGTTTTCAAGCGTTTCGTTGGTTTGTCGAGTCTTTGGTGGGATGAATGAAAGCTTAAGCGTCGGGGAAACATCCTCCGCCCCTCGAAAGAGAAGAGGAAAGTATTGTGCAGCCTTTGACTGCAATAATAGCGCCTATAATGTAAACGGTACTCGTACAAGTTATCATTTCTTCGAGTTTCCCAAGGACGCTCAGCTAAGGAATCGGTGGTGTTCACTTATCAAGCGACGACACGGACAGGACGGCTTTCGATATCTCGAAAAAACTTTCTGGTCGCTGGAATTTGAAGACAGGTTTGTGATATTGTCGAGCTTTTGTTGTGTGCGTTCGTGATTTGAGCTATGAAAAACTCAAAATTCTAAGATATTTTGATCTTTAGAAACAAGGATTCGTTTAATTTTTCCCAAATCAAAGATTTTGGTTGTTTTATTCGACGATTGTTGTTTTATTGTAAACTTTATGATTTAAAGTGTTTCATGTCTTGTGATTTTTGTCATTGAATGATAGAATATTTAATGTATGCTTATTAATATTGCTGGACTTCACAAAAGCAATCAATTTAATTGCAGATTAACTCATAATAAATAAATCTGAAATGATTACTGTCACATTTAATAAGTTTTATTTATTTATTTATTTACAAGGTGCAGAGCCATGTATATTTAGCTGGACAAAGCAATCAAACCAAAGAAAGGCACCAAAGGAAAGAAAGATGGATGAGTCAACTGTTGGAGTAGCAGCATCAGCATTGCAGTTTGGATCCTGCTCAGTATTTCCTTCTATTGATGCGTCAACTGATGCTGCTCATTCATTTTCGGAGTGTGATGAAAATGCAGCTGAAGTGGAGTGTGAGTCCCCTCAAACAGAGCCTGATTGTGTCCTTGAACTGCAAAGGAGAATTGAATTACTTGAAACTCAGCTAGCTGACTGCCAGGAAAAACTCAGTGAAGCAGAAAAGGAAAATGCTGTGTTATTGGAACGTCAATTTTCCATTGACAAAATTAAAGATGACAATGCTGCTGTTTTATTTTACACCGGATTCCCAAGTTATGAGGCATTAATAAGCTTCTACAAATACATTGAGCCAAAGCTTTCCAAAATGCAGTACTGGAAGGGTGAAAATCTAGTAAAGGAAAGCCAGCCTTATCAACTTGATGATAACAAGAGTAAACCTGGACCATCAAGGAAGCTTACTTTTCTGGATGAGTTCCTACTGGTACTCATGAGACTGAAAGCTGGTCTATTTGTACAGGACCTTGCCGACAGATTTGGCATCAGTGCCAGCCTGGTTTCCAGGATCTGCATCACCTGGATAAATTTGCTCTATCATGAGCTCAAGGACCTGTTTCCATTTCCCACACAGGAGCTTGTTCGCAAAAACATGCCTAAGGAGTTTGCCCAGTATGCCACAACCAGGATAATTTTAGACTGTACTGAGCTATTCATTCAGCGACCATCTGCTATGCTGGCTCAGTCAGAGACATGGTCAGATTATAAACACCATAATACTTGGAAGTTGCTAGTTAGGGTAACCCCAAATGGACAGGTCACTTTTTTGTCAGATCTCTGGGGTGGGCGTGTGTCTGACAAGCAAATAACAAGAGAGAGTGGTGTATTAGATTTGTTGCAAGTGGGTGATAATGTCATGGTTGATCGCGGATTTGACATTTCTGCAATTGTACCTGCTGGCGTTACAGTAAACATGCCACCATTTTTGGCTGGCCGTGATCAAATGACAGCAGCTGAAACTGAAGAGACTATGAGCATTGCTTCAGTGCGCATTCACGTGGAGCGTGCAATTGGCCGCATTAAGACCTACCACATTTTAGATGGTACCTTACCTAATACATTGAGCCCCTATGCAACACAAATTTCAACTGTCTGTGGCCTTCTGACAAACTTTTTACCCCCTTTACTACCACCAGCCAATCTTTGATTCTAGTTTTTGCTGTCTATTTATTATTAGGTAGAAATGTTTACTTTTTTGCATTTTAAAATTGTGGCAGAAGCCCAGCTATCAGTCTAAGCCTGCTTCCTGTAATCAGCCCCTTGGGTTCCATTAATTTTGTATTCCAAATAATACCACTTGCATGTCAATGCATATTAATAACTATTGGGATTCCATATAGTAAGTTATCATGGAACCAAAAATTCCCACTTTATTTCATTTAAAAATGAAATTGTACATGTATTTTTACACAGTGCATGCTAGTAATTTGTTCCCTTGAGCACAATGTGGCGGTACTTGCGCGTTGACACAACCAGGTAATCGTAAAGCTGAATAAAATTTAGTTCGGGAAGCTGACGTAAATCAGTGGACCATCCGAGAGCAGAGATTTGTCTTAAAGTTTCATCGTACTTGAAGTCACCACTATTTTCCGTTGTATTCTGGTGATCCTGAGCAGTATTATCGCTACTTTGCCGCTGATACTCACCCGGTCGTAGCACGTGTCGCATGAGTATCGCGTAGACTTTTAAAACCAAATCTGCTTTTATTCCGCCCGTCGCTTCCGAATTAGAACGCAAAATTTCCCTTAAATCCTTCACTTTTAACTTCTGGATATCTTCTAGCGTTGTAATCTGCATATCCTTGCAAACTAGCACCATTTTAGAAGCGATTGAACCACGAAAGACTTCTCCGATCAGCTGTATTTACTGTTTTTGTAATACGCGGGTCACCGGCAGCCTCGCTATCGTGTTTGCGCGGCTACTAATCTAATATGGCGCCGGGAACTGTAAAAAGGACTATTGGAGAAACCAAATTACCTTATCATTTATTTGATCAGACGAAGTCGCTAAGATTTGTTATCGTATCGCTGGCAGTGCCCGTGGGCAGTGTGAGACGAATCCTGTTCTCTGATTGGCTACTTAAGCGGGCAAGATGGCCCATATCACAATGTTGGCGATTTAGTCGCAAAAACTCGGCAGAGGGAGGTTAAAACAAAGAAAACATAAACTAACCGCCTGGGTTTACTATATTACAAACACAGCTGGCTTTCTTGCCCAGCTTTCTTAAAAAAAAAAAACAGGTCAATCTTGATTTGTAATACAGCGAAACCTTTTATTGTCCAAGCTTGTTCAGTCAACAACTGCATCAAGGCTTCTATCGTTAACTAGAACATTTAAGTGATAACAACTAATAATCGGCGATCAGGTGATGCATATGGCTGCGAGTTATAGCGTGATGAAACAAAATAGTTTTCATCGAAGGAAACGAAACGAAATGCTCAGATTTTAGACATCACAAATTTGAGAGCAAATAGAACACTTCTCGCAGACAAAATATGTGCAGTTACAACTGAGTTAAAAATTAATGCGGTTCTATCTGCTTTCAAATTTGTGATGCCTTGATGTAGTTGTTGACATAATAACTGGTATCTAGAAGTTTCTAAATAATTCAGTAATTTAGTAAGTATTTTCAACTCAGTTGTAACTGAGTATAATTTGTCTACGGGAAGTGTGCTCAAGTACTTAATAAATTATTCAGAAACTTCTACGGTAGATAACAATATTAGTATCTCAACAACTACATCGAGGAGTCTATAGTTAACAGGAAAATCTATATGATAACAACTGATAAACTAGAAAAATTTAACAGAAGGCAGAGGTCATTTATTATTTTAAATCTCTGAATCAAATAAGATCTTTGTTTATTCAGACAGAAATGGCTGACGAGATTGTTACTTGACTAGGAAATGTCATCTTCTTTAACATTTAATGAACAATTGAAATCTTACTGTAATCCAGCTTTCAGTGCATCCTTTCAATTAGCCAGTCGATTCGGCTATGATTGGTTAGATAATAATTAAAATCTTCAACTTTCATTTAAATTATTCAATGTCGTCCCCTTGTTGATATCTGATGAAAACGCCTACGACACAATTTTAAAGCTGAGGAGTATGCATACCGTAGACGAGGTCATCACCAGAAAATCAAAATGAAATTTACTCTGTGTGCTGGACTTATCGTGTTGTTAATGTCCGAAGTCGTAGCATCTCAAGCATTTCTTTGTAAGGAAGCATCTCTTTCTTGTCCTGTGATAACTTACAATCATCGCCGACTTAAAGGCTTCACGCTCAAAACATTTCATTCGGCAAGCCTGATATCCTGTAGTTTGCTATGTCAGAGAGACCCTCGATGCGTTTCAACAAATTTCAGAAAAGTTTTCAAAAGTGAGGGAACCTGTGAGTTGAACGACAGAGGAGCTCTCCTTACTGAGAAAGGAAACGAACTGGAGTACGACGAAGAAGTGATTTACACTCAATTTTACGACACGAAGGTAACAAAAAAGTCTCGATAATAGACCAAGAAGGAGGTATTATTGATTCCTGGAGACACTTGTCTTTAGTTCGTGGTATCTTTCTCATAAAATCTTCATATTTCGACGACAGATGTAAAAAATTTCCATCTGTCATATGTTTCTTTGAATGTTTTTATCGTTTGGTCGTAAACTAGTTTGACGTGTATGCAGGTAAAATGGTGGTTTTTCATCTTTTTCTTTTAAAGGCGAATGGACCACATTTCACTGAGTGCTGATAATCAAAATGTTGTACTGTGGTTTAAAGTAAAATGAGAAATTTTTGCTAAGTGGGAATTTAAATCTCGGTATCATTGGAGTCAATATATGCAAACTGCTCCGAAGCTCAATAAAGTTAAATATATTTTAAGTTGAAAGTTCTTGAATAAATTCAGGTGGACCGAAAATAGGTCATACGGATTTAGTACACAAAATTCAGAATAAAATTTTAGCTTGAAGCTAAAACTTTCAAGATGAATCTAAAGGCCTTCAATTAGCTCACTTGTGCAGTCTCCATACGGTGATGAACCCGGAAGACTTATTGATTTCCCGATAAAATAAAAAATGAATGATTTTTTTGTTTTCAGCACCACTGTCAGGCCTTCAAGGAACATTTAAAAGTCGTCAACTGCAAATGTAAGTAGCGTTGGTTTGAATGGTATTCTTGAGATTAAAGTCAACGACTACGTGTTTAAATTACAATGAGTTACTTGTCCCGGCTGCTTCTTGTCTCTCTGCCAATAGTTACGGAATCTGTCGTCTTCGCGAACCTTCGCGGACCCTTACAAAAATTCCCCGAACCTGCTTGAAACATTTCGATTCTTACGGTTTCCTTGAAAGTCCTCGAATGCTGTCAAAAAAATTGCTAAGGAAACTGTTGCCTAAGTTACTTCTAAATTAAAATAGAAATCAAGCCTTTAATTCCCATGAGTGACCAAGACAGAATTTCTCCTTACAATAACCATACAATATCAATCAGACAGGTGATGAGAATAATGAAAAGGATAAGTTTGAGGATTTTCTAGTTGATCCAGTACCAAATTCTCAGAACTAGCATCATAAGAATTGTATAGCAGACAGTAAGGAGAATTAATAATGAGATCTTGGGCACTGAAGGGTTAAGGAAACAAGAAACTGCTGAAGAAGCCGAGGACCCTCACTGCGTCATTCACAACTTCAAATGCTGATGTGCCTACAAAATGCATCGCGAAAACACGATAGCGTCGAGTCATCAATATGGGAAGCAATTTAAACATATCCAGGAATTAGACAAGATAGACTCCAGTGATTCAAAAACCTCTGGGTACTCCAAAGGTGCCGTAGTAAATTTGAACCGTTTTGGGTCATTTATCATAGAGCTTCGACCATCACTTCTAAGTCGGGGAGATTTAACTCACGCGAAAGTTTTTATTTTTGTCAAACTTTTTTTTATTATAATGCTTCAGATAAAAGGTGAAACTGCACTTACTTTTACATTTCTATTAAACCGTTTTCAAAATCCTCCTTTATTTCTATTCAACCGTTTTCAAAATCCTCCTTCATTTCTATTCAACCGTTTTCAAAATCCTCCTTCATTTCTATTCAACCGTTTTCAAAATCCTCCTTCATTTCTATTCAACCGTTTTCAAAATTCTCCTTTATTCCATAATAAAACAAATCAATGTCTGTGCGATTGCATTTCAACCGTTTTCAAAATCATCAGGTGAATCACCAAAAGCCCCAGTTCCCCTCGGCATGGAAAGCGGTGCTATTTTTGACTCACAGATCACCGCTTCCTCCTTGTATGATTTTAAACATGCCGCATCGAATGCTAGATTACATTTCAAAGGATCCGAAAACCCGCTTAGAGGTGCTGGCTGGGTACCTGATGTGAAAAACACCAACCAATGGCTGCAAGTGGATCTTCAGCAAACCACAAGGGTAATGGGCATAGCGACGCAGGGGAGACATGATCTCGATAGGTGGGTTACTAAATACAAGCTACAATATGGCGATGATGGACAAACTTTCAGAGTTTACAAGCGAAACGGAGACATATCAGACACGGTATGAAAAAATATGCTTAATTGAACAAACCTTTTTGTGGAGAAAAAGTCCCCATGAGGAATAGAACCTTTTTGTATTCTGCATTCTGATTCTCATCCCCTGAGCCACAAAGCAGTTACACTAGGCTGGGCCATATACTCTCTGTCATTGAACCTACAGAAAAGCATTCACGGAAGTTATAGGTTAAGAGTAATTCGTACTGTTAAAAAAAAAAAAAAAAAAAAAAAAAACTTACGCTCGTTAATTTTACGCCCAAATATATTCTACTCAGGTTTTCCCAGGAAACAAGAACAGAGACACAGTAGTTTACCACGATCTTAACCCGCTTATTTATGTTCGCTATGTTCGAGTTCTTCCGATGGAATGGAATCGGGCGATCGCTATGAGGATTGAGCTTTATTCTTGTTAAGGTAACCTGCTGGTCCAATCGTGTAGCAATGGCCGAGATTTTTGTGAAAAACGTATTCTGGGAGACGGAAGGTGTGCGTTGGGTAAGGGTAAGCTGTAATGGACTGACATTACATTTAACCCTTTAGCTCCCAAGATCTTCATGCTAATTCTCCCGTCTAGCTGCTGCACATTCCTTGCAAATCAGGTACAAGAATTAGGTGTTAGATCAGGCTAGATATATGTATGGATATTTTGGGAAAAAGTTTCCTGTTAATCACTTCTGGGAGTTAAGAGCGCTAGCAGTGCTCAGAAACCAAAGCGAGCCCCGGTTTAAGGCCAGTTGCCCTTTGGGTTTTGCGCGTGATTGTCATATGTCATCGATAGAGCTCATTTCACATAACATCCCCAACACCAATTTTTTTTTCTGGGAGACGGAAGGTGTGCGTTGGGTAAGGGTAAGCTGTAATGGACTGACATTACATTTAACCCTTTAGCTCCCAAGATCTTCATCCTAATTCTCCCGTCTAGCTGCTACACATTCCTTGCAAATCAGGTACAAGAATTAGGTTTTAGATCAGGATAACAACTTTTACCTGATAAGTTTGAATATTCTCATCACCTGTTTGCAAGATATATCTATGGATATTTTAGGAAAAAGTTTCATTTTAGTCACTTATGGGAGTTAAAGGGTTAGGAGTGCTAGCAGTGCTCAGAAACCAAAGCGAGCCCCGGTTTAAGTTCAGTTGCCCTTTGAGTTTTACACATGTTTGTAATTTGTCATCGACAGAGCTCACGGACTTCACATAACATCCCAAACACCTATATCTTTTTTACTAAAATACATTATTTGTTTTTGATAGAAAACCAAATTCTCTTTACTTGTTTAAAAGTGAAAGAGTCACAACTGAAGGGAAGAATTCACCTTTTCGGCGTTAGATTGCACTTGTAGTGTCACGTGACCACTGATGTAAACAAACCGCGAAAGTTTAGACTTTAAGTCAACCACCCACGGCTCGAGTCCGAACTTCGGCTTCGGCATTTTGTCTTGAATAGTTTCCCTCTGTCGCGCTATGGAATGATAAAAAACTTTCTATGTACTGTGATGTATCTTCTCAGGTATTTTCAGGGCGTTGAGCGCGTTGATTGTTAAATGAAACCACATCTGATAGGAGATTATTGCCCACGAATCGCTGTAAAACGTGATCAAGCCTGGATTCCCACACAGAATCTCGTTTCATATCGTATTGCGTGAAATGTTTTATGTAACGCAAAGGGGAAATCCTGCCAAATTCAGTTCAATCTTCAAGAGCAGTTGTAGCTTAGAATAGCAGATCACAAAATTTGAGACGGTTTCAACGCTATGAATGGGGTAGAAACTAAAAATATCTGCAGAAACGGGGCATTTCACTGAGCAGATATTTCACGACTTTTTGTCTGGAAATCGCCTCCGCAGTCGAAAAAAAGGGTTCTATTAGTGTGTCCAAATTTCGAAAAAGACGACGCCACTACTTCAGGCAAATCAATAATTCATGATATGTTTATTCTCAATCTAGTTTTTTAACGCTTCGCGGCCGTTTGGATTGTAGGATATTTTTAATCATTTGATTTACTACTCCACCGCGTCAGGCATGGACTCGCCGCTTATAAATCATTTGAAGATTATCGCCTATTCGGTGATCGTTTATTACGTATCGTAAGCATCAGAAGTCTCGTGACACTACACGTGAAATCTAACGCCGAAAAGGTGAATTATCAATCAGACCCTGGAAGGCAGAGGAATCGAAAAAAACGACCAGAAACTATCTTTTACATGCTTGTTAATGCTGTTTTTGTTTCCTTATTTTTCATATAGAATAACAGCTATTTGCGAGAAACATCACTGCAATTCAATTCCTTCTATGGCTAATCCAAAATGACTTGTTTGTGGATTACAAAGAACAACAGCAGCTTGATTCGTTGACTAATTAATTATTGGTCGTTTTAGCTTAATAGTCGTTATAATTCGTAATGTCAGGGATATGCACCAATGGCTGCACATTAAGACGTACCTGTAAAACGAACGAGCGAACGTGCTCTTTTGGAGACTCGTGTTCGATCAACCTGAGTGCCTAACGAGAACCGATTGTGAAAACAATCCAATCTCTCGTTAAAATGTATAATATATCATACTCCCTTCACCACTTAAACAAAGTAATAAATCTTGTATCGTAAGAAAGAGACACGTGTGTTCATTAAGGAAAAAGCGACAAGAAACCTCTGACGAGTTTGCATGCCGTTAAGACGTGTTTAGCAGTTGTAGCTGATCAAATTATTTAATAAAGTATGTACCCCTAGTTAAATTTGTAAGTAAGCAAATGAACGTTGCGAGTAAATGTGATTTAACGCTCAGGAATTGTTGAGAAATAATCGCACAATAAAGGAAGTTGTTACAACGGTGAAGGTTTCGACTTTTTAGAGCAAAAATGGCTATGAGAGATTTATGGAAACAAACCATCACGAAATCATTGACAGTCCTGGAATTTTTGCAGTGGGTGAATCTGATATTATAGTTTCTTCATTAATCAAATTGTGACACGTGTTTCTAGTAGGATTCGAACCTGCAATTCTTCGTGTATGAGGCGGACGTGATAACAGGAACGCGGCTTGTAAGCATGGCTTTGTCCGCCAAGAGCATCTCACTCATGGCGGGATCGAGTGTAACTGGCTATGTGTAGTTTACAACAAAGAGTGTTTTATTTATGAGAATAAGTGTGGAGAGTTTTTCTTTTAAGACAATAAATGCTGAATAAATTATAAAGAAACTGCCAAATACCAATTACCATTTCAACAACTGCATTGATGCTTCTATAGTTCACAACAACAACATTTGAATGATAACAATTGATGAAGTGGATCTGAAATTTTAAGTGAGTATAAATTATTAACTTCACATCAGCAATAAAAGCTTCTAGAGTTGACCGGAACATTAAATGGCGGACGACAACTGATAAACTAGATTTGAACTTTAAGGGAAGGCGAAATTGACAGTTTTGTTTTTTTTATTTTATCATTCCTTGAAGAAGATGATATATTTCCGTGTTTATTCCGGTAGAAATGGCTGACGAAATTAGAAGAAGTGAGAACAAATATTTCGTTTAAACTTTAATGAACGATTAAAATATAATCATTCTGTTATTCAGCTCTCAGAGCATCCTTCAATTAGCCCGTCCACTTGATTATGATTGGAAAGAAAAAACATTAGAAGAACATCTCTGAACTCCTTTTAAACTATTTAAAATCCTCCAGAGGCTGTTAAAAGGCTGAAAGCAAAGTCTCTACCAAAAAAAAAAGCGAAATGAATTTTTTTGTGTGTGTTGAATCACTCGTGTTATTAATGTTCGAAGTCATAGCCTTTCAAGCATTTCTTTGTAAGGAAGCATCTCTTTCTTGTCCTGTGATAACTCACCATCATCGCCGACTTAAAGGCTTTGCGCCCAAAACATTTCATTCGGCAAGCCTGATATCCTGTGGTTTGCAATGTCAGAGAAACCCTCGATGCGTTTCAACAAATTTCAAAAAAGTTTCCAAAACTGAGGGAACGTGTGAGTTAAACGACAGAGGAGTTTACCCTCCTGAGGAAGGAAAAGAACTCGAATATGACGAAGAAGCTATTTACACTCAATTTTACTTCAAAAAGGTAACAAAAATGTGTCTTATCTATTTTAAGTATTGATCCACTTAAGAAGTGGGCGTCTTCAAAATCGCGATCGCGGCCCACAAAAACTCGGTGGCGGTCTGTGTTTACATTAAGGAAATCTGTCTCTGATAATGGCTTCCGACAATTATGGCTGAAAGTGCAAAAGTCGCTGCTCAAAGTCATTCCTTATCTGTACAGTTTATCGTCCGCCGAGCACACCATTAAACTTCCTGGATGATATTGCTGAAAATGTCATCAGGAGTATTTTTTACTAGGATTCGATGTCATCATACTGGGTGATCTCAACTGGAACCTCCTTCGAGATAATATGGAGTCTGGCGGCCTCATGGATTTTGTTTGACCTTTAATCTCACACAGCCAATCAACAAACCAACTAGAGTTACAGAGAATAGCGAATCCTTGATTGATGTTGTAATGACCACAAACGAAAACCTAGTTGCTTCTAGTGGTGTCCTGATGTCAACTATTAGCGATCACAACCTCGTAAATATAACACTGAAGCCAAAAAAGCCAAGAATAAAGCACTCTTACGTAACCATCAGAAGCTACAGAAATTTCAAAGTCCACAACCCTCTACATGACCTCTCCCTCACGCCTTTTCATATAATTAGTCTATTTGACGACTTAAACGATCAGGTTGACGCATTTAATGACTTGTTCTTGGAAGTCCTAAATCATCACGTACTGGTCACAATGGTTAAAATTAGATCCAAACCTAATCCATTTATCACACCAGAAATTCGTCAACTGATGAGAACACGCGACCAATGGCGCAAACTTGCTTCGAAAACAAAGGATCCCCTTCACTGGAATGGTTACAAATTTTTTCGTCAAGAAGTTAAGAGGGAGATCCGAATAGCTGAAAAAGCTTACGTCAGGGCTCAAATTCTGGAGAGTAAAGGAAATTCTAACT